TTGCTCAGGGACCCAGAGTGGAGGCAGTGGGGATCGAACCGGGTACTTGCAACCTTCTCAGAGCACAAGCGCACTGCTCTAACCAGTAGGCCAACATTAATTAGCGTTAGCAACATTAGCATTTTGCCATTGTTTCCTATTCTCTTATAGAAGAGTGCAAAGTTACACAAGCAGCAGCATTTACTGACTGCCTGCAGGTGATATATAATATAAAAAACAATTTCAGGTGAGATCACTATATGCTTAAAAAAACACCAAAAAGTACATAATTAGATTCTTCTGTTTGTACATGACTAAAGGGATACACACCTGTTGAGGTAGTTTAAAGTTTATTTTTTATACAAAACTAAAGAGATAAACTAAAGGGATAAACGGGTATTGACTATGTGTTTCCTGGTCTGACCGGTTATGCGCATCTTACAGAACACCAGGTGTCAGGCACCAGGTTTGTATGAGCAAATGTAGAGTATGGATAGTTATTTGTCTTTCAAAACATTTTCGCATCAGATTTCCAATGATAAGTGATCTTTGTTTCAGTAATATCAGAATATTTTTTCGCCCATCTGTCCATGTTTAATCTTTTACTGAGCCATGCATTCTTCCATCTTCCTAAGGTGTGCTTTCTGCGGGCTCCATATATGAAACCTTTTGGCTTTAGAGGTATCTCTCAGAAGCTCAAAGTCGTCCTCTATGCCAGAGGTCACGGATTAGCAAACCGCGGTCCGTATCCGGACCCACCTACTGGCTAATCAGGACCCAACCTGATTTAAACATTAATAAACTACCGCATGTTGACCGACGACAGTGTCTAACTTCACTTGCACTGCTTCTCCTGTTAATATGGTAAAATCCTCCAGAGCGTCCGGCACCAGGCTACACATGATCCAAATTAGCAGTGTATTCTCATTATCTGTTCATATGTTCGTACGTTTTTGAAGTATTTTTTGTTGTATTTCGTCGTATTTTTACATCTTGCCTCGAGACAAGATATCCTTGCGCATGCGCATCTTACGCACCATTCAATAACATAGAATTTAACATACAATTAACCCTAACCCGAAGAT